ACATTATGAAGATGATACAAACTTGCTTTCAGAAAGTGAAGTGGACTAGAAAGGCTTGTTGTAGAAGGTCAAAGAATATAGACTACAATATGGATTACACTTGAATGACAAGAATACAAAAGTTCTCACCACTAAAGATTTAAAAGATTGAAGCTGACAATTTTTTCTTACTTTTTCTTACAATTATTATCCTTAGTAACATCAACCAGGAGATGAAGAAATGAAATGTACTGGGAAAGCCTGTAGTCAAGGATCTCTGTAAATCATTGATGAGCAATGATGTCAGTTTGAGGACTAAGGTGAACCTAATTCAGGTCATAATCTTTCTGACAACATGCATTTGAGAGGTGGACAATGGATAAAGAAGACAGAAGAAGAATAGATGCCTTTGAACAATGTTGTTAGAACACTGACTAGCCCATGGGCTGATAGAAAAACAAGCATATGTGTCTTAGAGATGAGGCCAGAGCATCCATTTGAGGCAAAGATGATAAAGCTTCATTTCACATACATTGAGAATATTGTTTGGAAGAGGCTATTTCTTGGAATGGAACATCATAGTTGGAAAGGTGTAGGGCTAGTGAAACAGAGGAAGACTCTTTACCAGGAGGATTGACACAGTGACTGAAGCGATGAGTTCAAATATATCAGAGATTTTGAGCATCGCACAGATACAGCAGATTTCAGATCTATTGGATGCAGGAACAATATAGGTAGCATTTAACTTGATGTCACCTAATAACAACAGCACTAAATGCATTTTGTATGTGCTTTAAATTGTACCAAAATAAATTTGGGTAAGTTAAATATGAGAATTAACCATTCTTTTTAATATATTTAAAGGGAACTGGAAATGATTTAAGGAAAAAATTTAAAATGACTTTGCTTGTGAGAGCCGTAACACAAATGATAACAATTTCATAATACAAGATTCAAAACTATCCCTAGGTATTTCTATTGATATAGAAATCTAAATGAAATTATTTGTATTTCTATTTGCATGTACAATCTTGATTTTCTTATATGATTTGTATAAATTCAGTATGTGGTCATTCTTACTTTTGCTATATTTCTTTGTAATATTTCTGATATATAACATTTGAGGACTTTCGTTTGTTTCACCATACTTAACCACTATACCTGTTTCAGCAGGATCAGTAATTTAAAAGATTTGTTGTTGTTGTTGTTGTGTAACATAGAGTGGGAATGGACCCATAGCTGACCCTCCAGTGGATTTTCAGAGTTAATTACATGGTAAATTACATGGGAGGAGATTACCCATCCTTCTCCCGCTGAGCAGCTGATGACCTCAGACTGTGTGCCTTTGGGATTATAGCACAGCATCTTGCCACTAGGCCACAAAAGCTCATATGAAAGTAGATGCTCAATTACAAGACAATATGTATATTATTTAATTGAAATTTAAAAAATAGAAATATTTTAGTTATATAATAAATGGGTCAGTTGAGCTAATAATTCTTTTCTGCATAACAATCCTGATTTCTAATTCTCTTAGTAGAACTACCAATGCATTTGTACATAAAAAAAAATGAAATGAAAGAAAATTTTACCACCGGTGAAGGGAGTGGTTAGTTGGTCTCTCCAAGTAATGACCCTACAATTCCCCCACTGAATACTCCTGTGTTCTTGATTTCACTGTCAGTGAACAGTTTAAAAAGTATTAAACAACATGTAAACAGTACATATACTAAAAATATACTATCATTCAGCATCTTTTGGTTCTGATTTTGAGATATAAATTAAACATACGGTTTATGTCTACTCTATTCTAAATGTACTGACTTCTTTATGGATTAAACTTTCAATTTTTTTAAATCATAGGGACAATCAACTCATCTAAAATTTTACTAATAAGCAAATATATTATTTTCAAAAGGGCAGAAGTTCTATAGCTAGATATATTTTCTACATTTTTAAGGACAAAGCAACAATAAAAAGGTAACTTTCATAATGACATTACATAATAAAGAATGGACAAAATTCTTTGAAGTTTTAATTTTCCATATTTATTTAACTTTGTCTTTGGTTTTGTTAACTCTTGGTGATTTATTTTGGAGGAAGTAGAGAAAATAACTGTTTAATAACAGTAGTTTATATGTTCTTCTATTCTCTCAAAGTACTTTTAATTCAAGCTCTTTATTCTTAAAACTACTTATGCCTATTCTTTTTCCAAATATTTATGTGTGTGTGTGTGTGTGTGTGTGTGTGTTTGTGTGTATATATAAATTTTATGTGTAATATTTTCTCTTAAATTATTCTTCTAAAATATGATGGATTTATTTCAAAATATTCAGAATATTTTCAAATAGTACTCAAAGAAGAGACAGTTGGACACATTTTTTATATTTATAAAATAATAGACTGTAAATCAACTACTTGTTAAAAAAGAAAAGTAAGGATCATTTACATTATCAAATTACTCTAATTCAAAATTTTGTTCTAAATTGGATTGAATAGTTTTGTGAAACAAAGCACTAAACAGAGTTTCAACCAAAGTGCTTCTAAAATAAGTTTAAATTTGCTTATTTTCCTTAGTCTAAATTGAATGAGTAAATCTATTATTTAAGATCTCAATACTGATACAGAAAATGGAAAGTCATAATGTGCATTCTTCTTTCAAGTTATGCCTGTAACCATGTTCTTCCATTTGAAAAATGTAAAGAAAAACCCATTGAAAGATCAATACAAAATTTAAGCTAATGTTTTCCTATAAATGTAAAACAAAAAATAGTCAAATATAATCATGAAATGGAATAACTAAACAATAGCTCTTATACATCTAGAGTTATTACTTGAGAATGCTTACTTCCAGCACAAATGTTATCATGTCAATAATAAGTAACAGGTTATTAAAGGGAGAGGGGTGAAACTTCATACTTGCCATGGTCTATAACACCCTCTAAAAGTCATGGTTCCAAAAATGCAATTTCCTTATTAACGCCTTAATGCTAAAATGTCATCTACATTTTCAAATAAATCAACATTACATATTTATGCACTGTTTTTGCTTGATAAATGCTTTATTTTAAAGCTTAACCTAATTTTATGAAGTTTTCCTGAGATTGCCTGAAACGGAAAATACTATGGCAACAAGTATTCTACTCTGTCTCTGTGGAAGTTGGTGGTGTGAATTTAGAATGTTTTCCCTCATAGTAGACAATTCTGCTGGCCTCCATATTTTAAATTAAACACATTCACAAAACTAGTTCAGGGTAGACTTGTTGCTCTCATTGACTTTAAACCATTCATTCATGGAGTAAGGTGGTTCTTGAGGCAAACAAAAGGGCATATAAACCACTAAATATATATACTAAAAATAAAATATCAAGCATTCTTGATAATGATTCAATTAAATTACTTGAATAAAGTCACACACTAGATATTAAAAATTTAAAAATATTTTTGAGAATATATTTTTAAATCATTTTGAAGCTAGTAATAATATGCCATCAAATGAAACACTGTTTAAATTCTGACAAAACACTTGATCTGTTGTCCAAATGAGGACATAAGAAAGAGAAATTCTTCACCAGGTTTAGAAATATCTCACCAGGTTACTTCATTTTCCTTTTTTGCATTATTATTCTACTAATAATAAAATCACAACAAAACAAACATGCAGGAGGTTTGCTATTATAAGTGCATTAATTTAGCAGTAAAATTATTTTAAGAGCTTTGACTCTAAAATATAAAAGACAAAGCTCTAGAGTAAATATTTTTCTTCCTGTGCAGCTACAACTAGCTACATCTAATTTTGAAGCACAAATTTACCTTCTTGCATCAATTCCTTTGCCAGAAAAACCCAAGCCTGAGTCTGCATTTTACTAGCTTTATGTAAAGGGTGTTGGGAAAAAGAGGCAAGAAGAAAACTAAACTAAGCTTCTATTTTTCCAAATTGTGACAGAATGTGAGGTGATGAAGTTAACTCATCATACATTGCAGACATATTCCACTAGGAATTATAAATGCCACAGCAGGGGTTAGCAATGTGCCTGTGAATCATTCTGGCTCTCTCTGAGATCTACTGGCTTTTAAAAGGGTAGCTGGAAGAGCGATCAGTAGCAGCCAGCACAGCCTCCTCCCTGGGACAACCAAGTTGACTGCATCCAGATGAACCTAGTTCTTGCTGTGAGAAGCTCTTACTAATGCTCCATTCAGATCAGGTGGGGGGAAAGAGGGAAAAAAAATACTAGCATGTCAGCATCATTGGCTCCAAAGCCAACAATCAATCATCCGGAGTCTCCAAACCTGTCTCGGTTTTAATAACCCTTTGAAAATCCCTAGGTAGCCTTCAGATTTAGCCCTTTCCTCCTGGCCACCTGCAACACCGCAGTTTTTACAGCAGTGATTCATGTTTAATAAAACGTAATCTAGAGCATTCTAAACATGTTCAGGATTAAAGTTAATGCCGAAACACAAATCAGATCAGCAATTTTATGTAATCAGGAGCTGTTCAACTTCTGCTGACTGGTGCCGACAAACCATCCCCCTTCCTTGAGAAGAAGCTGGCATTTATAAATCTTACATCCTCCTACCTCCTCCTTTAAATTCCTTAATGGACCATTAGTAACAGAATCGATCCTAGTTACTTTAGTAGCAAAGCATTGCAAAGGCACATCCGCTGTGTTTACTAGTGCCAGAAACACCATTCAAAAAGTTGAGAACGCAAAGCCAAAGCTTTGCAAGCCTTTGGGATGGGGGTAGGAGAGAAGTACAGCAGGAGAATGCAGTCGGTGCAATAGGAGTAGGAAACTGAGGAGACCTGAACTCTCCCACATTCAACAATCAAGTCCAGCCGGGATGGCATGGAGCAACTGAAATATCAGCTTCTCCAGTCCCTGTATGTCACCGGGTCAGCCCAGAGCTTCTCTCTTGGGAAAACTGAACCCACCCTCTGCCCACCAGCCGGCTGCCCTGGCCCCCACCTCGGAGTGGCGCGCTCTTGCGCGCGGCCACGGACCCGGGTGCTCAGCACTTACGTCTCGGAATTTGTTCCACTGTCCGACTTCCTTGTCATACTGAGAGATGGTGGTGAGCCATTGTTTATCATCCAGAAAATTACCGCTGTCTGACCGCCCCCCGGCCGCAGCCACAGCCGCGGCAGCAGGGAGAGCTTGACTGCACCAAGCGGCGGCATACACACACAATACAGCTGACACCTTGAGCATCTGGACAAGGAGACACAACCGCAGGGGTGGACAGTGTCAAATAAGGGGTATGCAGGCTGGCGACCCTGAGAAGCATGCATCAGCAAGGACTGGAGAAGGGAACGGAGGAGACAAGAAGGGATGGTGGTGCAGCCTCCCCCACCAGCTTTCCCTCCAAACCCGCGCGCTCAGACAAGCCAGTAGACCCAGGAACACAAGGTGGGTTTAAGGAAGCAAGCCCCAGTCCCGGGAAACAAGCACAAGCGCTACCAGGCACATCACCTTGTTGTGATCTCGCACTGTGATCACAGCACTAGCTGGAAATGCAGTCTCGCACAGCCAACTCTCGGCTTTCTGGAGCTGCTGCACGCGCTGAGGGCTCAGCCGTCCACTCAGCTCCCTGCACCCAGTGCACTCCCATCCCCACCCTCCCCCTGGCTCTCTCCGACTCCCCTCGAATCACCCTCTCCCTCCCCCACCTCCTTTTCTCTTCTTCCTCCACTGCCTCTTATTTCAGCACCTTCACTCTGAAGTGGAGCTGCAGTAGGCTCAGGAAGCAATGCCCAGTTGGAGCCAGAAGATGCAGTAAGTAGCTTCTCTCTCTCAGACTCCTTATCTCTTTCTAACCTCTTTCCTCCAGAAGAGGTTCTCATGTTCAGGAGACAGCCTGGTCTTTCCCTGCCCCTGCTTTTATTTAAAACCAAAGCAAAATGTGTATTCTCTCACATTTGCTTCTGCTCTGGCACTATCAAAGACATCCAAGCTGACTTTGGAAATGAGCTCCAAAGAAAACTTTATGCATCACCAAGTCAAGAATAACGCTGCTGGATTCAATCTTGTAAACCTGCCTAAAGTAAGCCCGCGCCTTGGGAAATCTATTAAATCTAGAAGAATCCAAGGTTATTTCTGACAATTTAGATTTTTTTTTTTTTTTGAAGATTCACTATCAGGTAAGATGTTTGAAGGCACCTAGATCTTCTACATAAAAGTCCCTTCACAGCTATGTTTTATTATTGTAGGATTTTAATTTTAAAACAAACAAAAAAACCCAACATCAAAAAACAAACAAAACAAATTAAAAAAAAACAAAACCAAAGCAACCCTACTTTAAAAAGCTTTTTAGCTTGTCAAAGAAAAAAAATAAAACAGACTTCCCCCTTCCCCTCTGAAAACTTGCTGGAGGTTCAGTCTAGCTCCAACTCCATGGTACATAACATCAACAGCTGTAAGAAGACAGTGTCCAGAACACAAAACTAATTTAGGACTACACAAATAAAATAAAACAAAATAATTAGATCCCAGTTGTCTTTTCCACTTAGCCTGTATAAACTACAATGAAATAATTAGCCTAATATAAGCTGTATCTTATTAAGTGAATTTCTACTCACATATTTAGATAATTTAGGTGAGGTGAATATTAAATATAAAACAGATTTATCCAGCCTTTAAAAAAAAAAAAAAACCCACAAGAAAGAAACCCTGAAATGATAAGGTTTATTTTTGGTTAACTTGTTAACCTATTTACTTTATTAACTTGAATGTTTTTTACTGATACCAAAACTTTTACGAGCTACTTGAAAAGAAGAAACACTTTCTGCTCACATTTTCCCTTTCTACTTTATATGATATCTATATACCATTTTTCAAAATCTGATAGTATTAATTTGATCTTTGAATTCACATGTATATTTTAGTTAAAAAATAATGGATAGCTTGTGAAATACATGGCAACATAGAAGCATTTATTTTAAAATTAAGAATTGTTTTCCTTAATTTTCCCATTTTTCATCTCATAAATAGTGAAGAACTAAAAAAAAAAACTTCATTTATACTTCATTAATTTTTAGAACCACTGACTGATGCAAGCATATCCCAGATTAAGAACATGGATGTTCACTGTTTCTCCAAACACATTCATTTTTGTATAACTCACGGTTGTCAAAATCAGATACTTCAGTAAATTCTCATTTTTCTGGAGACTAATAAAAATGGTCCACGTTCCATCTCTCATTATCATCTGCTCCACCTTCCTCCTTCCTGGTTTTCAAGCCCCTTCGTCCACTCTCACGCCTCTTATTCTTGAGAGAAGGACTTTCCTATCAATACAATAAAATATGTTACATCATGTTTAAAAATCTCATTTGCTCTCTCTTTAAAAAAAAATCTCATGAGAAAATCATGGAAATTATGCCTTAAACAAAGTGCTGGTGCACAGCTGGAACAGGCAATTTTCAAAATAATAGCCCTTTCAACTATTGTAACTTGTCTTAAAAAAAGATGTATATCTTTGTTTCATATCTTTGTTTCAAGGGAGTTCTTGTGACCTAGTGGTAAGAAACTGTGCTGCAATCCCAAATGCAAGCATTTGGAACCCACCATCTACTCCCTGTGAGAGAAACGGGCTGTCTCCGAAAGCCCACTGAGCAGTTAACGATGAGTAGATTCTAACTCAATTTATTATAAAATATCTGATGTGGAACAATTCTTTAATACTCTTTCTCCCTCCTTTACTATTCATTATGCATTTCAACATGGTATCTGCTTTCTAAAGCTAATAAGGGCCACCTTTACATATATGGAAACTGATACATGTATTTTTATGCCCATATTTTCCCGCAAATGCATGCATTTTGTTGCTGACCTCGAGATGTTCAAAGAATATCTTCACATTTAACATTCATGGGCAAGTTCCCAAAATGTAGCTCCAAGGGTACTTCCTAAAGTTGCAAAATATTCTTTAAAAACAGACAATGGCAGTTAAGTGCACCTCACGAATAAAGATTCTGATATGATTTCAAGTTTCTATTAGTGTAAAAATATTTACCAGGAAACTGCATATTTCAAATTCTGAGTGAAAACGTAAAACACACCTCTTTTTAGTGAGTGGGCTTGTAGTGTTCTAAAAGGGATCCACCTCAGTCCTCTCTAGTTAGTATCCAAAGTCACTGCTGTGGAGTTGATCACAACCTTCCATTGGATCCTCGTTCAATTGCCACGGTTGTAAATCTTAACAGAGGAACCTGTCCATTTTCTTAGAACACCTGGTGGAATGGAACCAATGATCTTTTTTGGTTATCAGTGCAACATGTTTTGCAGAACACACTATGCCACCAGACCTCCCTTAACTTGTACCAGATTCATTAAATTTCTTCTTCCAAAAGCCATGGTAGTTATCAAGGCTAAAAGTCTGAGTATTAGTAGTGAGAGCCAGATTTGTTAAATTTCTTCTTCCAAAAGCCATGGTTGTTATCAAAGTTTAAAGTCTGTGAGTATTAGTAGTGAGAGATAGTTCTACTGATTATGTTGCTGATCACAAGGAAAGTCTTCTGAAGTAGTTGTATTTTAGAGTCTTCCAAGACAGTGAAATAGAAACAATTCATAGAGGAATCACCCTGTTGTTCACTCCATGATTGTAACCTAACTTCTCAGTGAAGAGGAAGTGAAAGCTTGCTGAGAGGCAAACACAGAAGGGAAGAATATAGAAAGATTAGATGGGAAGTAAGATATGGAAAGGGTAATTACAAGTCTCTGGCCCAGGTGAGCACACAGAGGAGGAAGTAATTCACTGGCTACTTTGCAATTTTATAGGAATAGAAGTAGGAAGTTGCACTGTGACCCCAAAGGGAAAAGATTATAGGCACTGTCTGCCTACATGATTTACAGCCTCTGAAAACCCACTGAAGATGCTTTATGAGTTTGTTCTGATTAGACAGCAATGAGTTATTTGTTCGTTCCAATGTTACTAAGAACCAGTCACAGGGACTGGAGAAGCTAAGAAACCGAAAAATAGAATATAGTGCAGGGTGTGCAGAGTAAGATATGTGTGATAGAAAATAGCAAAGTTAGAACCTACTATGTAAACACACACACACACACACACACACACAAAGATATAATCAAATACATATATGGTGTTTTTAATATGTTTTATTATTATTAATAGATCTATTCTTTTTTAAGTTTACTTTCCCACAAGTTCATATTTTCTACAATTCTAGAAAGATAAATACTAAAGACAAAATGGCAGAAATTCCATTTTAACTGTCTTTGAGATTGGGATCTCTGAACAGTTTGAATAGAAATTTAATTATTTGAATTCACATCATGCTGGGGAAAGGACCGAAGAAAGAAAGGAAGACTCTCAACAAGATGGATTAACACAGTGATTCTAACAATGGGCTTGCACATATTGGAAGTAGTAAGAATGGTGCAGGGGAGGGAAAGGCTCAAATCTGTCTTTCAGAGAGTTGCTATGCATCACACTCAATGACACATAGCAACAACCATTGTGAGGACATGTAAGAAAGGTTAAATTACAGAATAGCTGCTGCATGTCAGGCACCATGCCAGGCACTTTACACTCACTGTCATTTACTCTTGACAACTTGTCCAAGACACCACAAGTAGAAAGTGGCCTGTGAAGTTCCTGTGAATATTTATGTTGTACTATATCTAGTTTGCTCCCTTCTGTATATTAACTTATGTATTTGAATCTACTGCTTGTGTTGCTTTATTTTTCAAATTCTGCTGCACTCATATTTTTCCTTATCTACTCATACTCCATGGATTTATTGTTTTCCTCAGAAACAACTAAGAATACTTTGTACCTACTCCTTATATTCTCCATAAAAACAGAAACAATCCAAATCTTTCAGTCAATTTGAACTCATGGCAATTATCTGTATGGTTTCCAAGGCTGTAAATCTTAGTGACAACAGATTTGTCTCTTCTTTCTCCATAGACAGTGGATTGTGTCCAGTAAATCTTGCAGGTAGCTCAATTCATCAAAGGGGAGGATTAATAACCTGAAGGAGGAGTCACTTGCACTTCCATGCTGAGATCTTAGTCCCTTTCTGAAATCCCTGTAGCATCAAACCCAGCAAACAATCACTTAGTTGTATGTGGGACAGTAAAAGGGATTTGATCAAGCTTTCTGCCACTCTCCCCTTACATAAAAATATTCTATAAAAATATTCTGAATCAAATACATATTATTGCTTTACTTCATATAGCCAGCTGAT